TCAGGGAGTGAATCACAGGCAGTGAGGCATGGGCTGTTGGCTCAGGATTTCCTGGTGTTTCCTGCCTGGGAGAGCGGCCCCACTCTCAGGGGCAGCAGCCCACCACTCCTTGACGTCAACTCTCCTTCTAATGAATGGGTTTCCTTTTCCGTTTGGGAAGCCTGGGATCTGCCATCAATCCCGTCGACCCTGTCTTTCTATCCCTGGCACCTCCTGTCTGGGAAGGAGCCCGTGCAACTAACGAGAAGGCAGTGGGTGAGGGCAGGAGGGCGAGGGGACTCAGGGGACAGACGTCTTCTCGTCCGCAGTCACTGGACATGGGAATTCAGGAGCCTGGTCCGCAGCAGTAGTGCATTGACCCAGATTGTGAGCCAGCCAAGCAGCTTTGGGATACACGGGATGCTCCCAGGCAGGCTCCCTGGGTCAACTGTGTTGTCTAGGAGGGTCTTATCTTCTCTACTTGCTTTTGGTAACTAGCCTGGATGAGACCTCCTGACAGAATGCATGCGCTGTCGTCCTATAAATGTAATCATTTAAAAATTGCACAATCGCCGGGCGCGGTGGCTCAAGCCTGTAATCCCAGCACTTTGGGAGGCCGAGGCGGGTGGATCACGAGGTCGAGAGATCGAGACCATCCTGGTCAACATGGTGAAACCCCGTCTCTACTAAAAATACAAAAAACTAGCTGGGCGTGGTGGCGCGTGCCTGTAATCCCAGCTACTCAGGAGGCTGAGGCAGGAGAATTGCCTGAACCCAGGAGGCGGAGGTTGCGGTGAGCCGAGATCGCGCCATTGCACTCCAGCCTGGGTAACAAGAGCAAAACTCCGTCTCAAAAAAAAAAAAAAAAAAAAAAATTGCACAATCTCTGAAAACCATGACTTACTATTTTTGCAACGTCTCAATGTATGTGTCCTGTGGCAAAGTCGTGGTTGCCTCACTCTGGTGATAGCTTTGTCGGTTTCAAACTAGCCGTGAAGGCCAGCAGCTCTCGGTGTGTGGTTTCAGAAGGGACTGGGTCATTCGTTGATGTTTATCCTTAGTGTAAATACTTATTAGTTTGACTTACCATGCTATCAGTACTGCTGTCTGTTAAGTAGCATTTATTTAAGGTTGGGAACTCCCAGTGAGCCTGTACCACGGTTGTTTATCTTAGTACCTCGGGCAGCAAAGCACTCATGCAGAAAAGGTCCCGGCTCTTTCCAGGATGATAACCGGGCTCCCATGGCCCACCACGTGGTGCTCACCGCTGAGCAGGGTGGTGGAGCCACGCAGCAAGTTTACTCTGCAACAACCGTGGGCCAGGAACAGAGCAAAAGGGGAACCATGCAGTGGATGGCCTCATTCTAGTTACTGGAAGTTAGGAAATTTGATGATTCACTATTTCTAACTTGGAGGGGTTGAATCGAATTCCATGTAGCATTAGTAAAGCTATCTAAACGTAAAATAAAACTTAAAACCAGTCTGAAATACTTGCTGTCAACAGTTTGGAAACTCCTTAATGGCACCAAGTAACCAACATTAACATTTGGGTGTATTTACTTTCAGTCTTTCTGTATACATACACATATTTCCTCTTTCTCTTTTCTCTTTCTTTTCTCTTTCTTTTGTTCTTGCCTTCTTTGCTTCTTTCCTTCTTCACAACAAAGTTTCGCTCTTGTCACCCAGGCTGGAGTGCAATGGCACGATCTTGGCTCACCACAACCTCCACTTCCCAGGTTCAAGCGAGTCTCCTGCCTCAGCCTCCCAAGTAGCTGGGATTACAGGCATGCCCCACCACGCCTGGCTAACTTTTTGTATTTTCAGTAGAGACGGGGTTTCTCCATGTTGGTCAGGATCATGCGAACCCCCAACCTCGCATGATCCATTGGCCTTGGCCTCCCAAAGTGCTTCCTCTTTCTCTCTCACACCTTTAATAAAATGAAATGGTCTCTACACTACTCCTTGGTAATTTGGCTTTTACATTTAATGTTATTAACTATTCTTCCAGAACATGTTATTTTTAGGGATATATGGTCTTCCAGCATACTGATGTATCATTATTTAACCAACCCCTACCCCCGAAGATTTGCTTCCACACTTTTAATATTGTGAACAAGGCTGAGATGAACATTCTCGTGGGAATGTGTAGTCGATTTCCCTGATAATCTGTGGAAGTGGACTTTGGAGTGTTTGTTTCAGTGTGTCTATATCATTTTATCCTCACATCACAGTAGACTATGATTACGCCCTACAGCCTTTCCAGTTTCCAGGCCCCACGTGGGCCAGCCAGGGAGCTGCATATCACAGATCAGAGCGCACCGCTCCTGCCTTTCAGAATGCCACAGCCTTTTCCATTTTAAAAATAGCTGCAAAAAGTGTTCTTTGCTCGGGCTCGGTAGCTCACACCTATAATCCAAGCTCTTTGGAAGGCCAAGGTGGGCAGATTATTTGAGGTCAGGAGGTTGAGACCAGCCTGGCCAATGTGGTGAAACCCTGTCTCTACTAAAAATACAAAAGTTATCTGAGTATGGTGGCGTGTGCCTGTAATCCCAGCTACTTTGGAGGCTAAGGCAGGAGAATCTCTTGATCCTGGGAGGTGGAGCTTGCAGTGAGCCAAGATTGTGCCACTGCACTCCAGCCTGGGCAATAGGAGTGAAATTCTGTTTCAAAAAATAAGAAGTGTGGGCTGGGTGTGGTGGCTGACACCTGTAATCCCAACACTTTGGGAGGCCAAGGTGAATGGATCATGAGGTCAAGAGATGGAGACCCTCCTGACTCACATGGTGAAACCCCACCTATACTAAAAATGCAAAAATTAGCCAGGAGTGGTGGTGCATGCCTGTAGTCCCAGCTACTCAGGAGGCTGAGGCAGGAGAATTGCTTGAACCCAGGAGGTGGAGGTTGCAGTGAGCTGAGATTGCACCACTGCACTCCAGCCTGGGCAGCAGAGCGAGACTTCATCTCACACATACAAAAAAGTGTTCTTGGTATATGAGGATGTGCTCCTTCAGCTTTTTGAGCATAGAACTGTGTGTTGCCAGGGGCCAGTGATACGTTTGCATTTGGGCACATCAGGAGGGTGGAAGACTGTTCATCTCACGCAGACTTGCCGAGGCTGTTCTGTGCCGTGGAGCTCCAGCTTCTGGGGCTAACAGGGTGAAAATTGGTTCCCCTCTCTGTCTGGTGGGGATTTTCCGTGGTTCTGTGCACCTCAGTGAGTCAGCATTAACTGGGTTACAAGACTTTGTACAAGAACAGACTTTGTTCAAGTTTAACACATTAGGGGTGTTGTACACGCCTAAAGAATACCCTATCAGTTACAGCCTCAAACTGTAATTTCCCACTTATCAGTGAGGAGTCAATTGTTATGATTTTTTTTTTTTTTTTTTTTTTTTTTAAATAGAGATGGGGTTTCGCCATGATGGCCAGGCTGGTCTTGAACTCCTGACCTCGTGATCCACCCATCTCGGCCTCCCAAAGTGCTGAGATTACAGGCGTGAGCCACTGCACCCGGCCCATTATGATTATTTTTTGATGGAGTTTTGCTTTGTCATCAGGCTGCAGTGCAATGGCACAATCCCGGCATACTGCAACCTCTTCCTGGTGGGTTCAAGTGATTCTCCTGCCTCAGCCTCCTGAGTAGCTGGGATTACAGGCACGCACCACCAAGCCCAGCTAATTTTTTGTATTTTTGGTAGAGATGGCATTTCATCATGTTGGCCAGGCTGTTCTTGAATTTCCGACCTCAGGTGATCCCCCACCTCGGCCTCCCAAAGTTCAGGGATTACAGGCGAAAGCCACGGCGCCCAGCTGAGGAGTCAATTTTGACAGCTAGTGGCCAGGCTTGATGGCTCGTGCCTGTAATCCCAACACTTTGGGAGGCCGAGGGGAGAGAATTGCTTGAGCCCAGGAGTTCAAGATCAGCCTGGACAACATGCTAACACCCCCAACTCTACAAAAAATTAAAAAATCAACGGGCCCGGTGGCACAGGCCTGTAGTCCCAGCACTTTGGGAGGATCACCTGAGCCTGGGAGGTCGAGGCTGTAATGAGCCAAGTCCTACCACTGCACTCCAGCCTGGGAGACAGACTGAGAGTCTGTCTCAAAACAAACAGGCCAGGTGTGGTGGCTCACACCTGTAATCCCAGCAGTTTGGGAGGCTGAGGTGGGGGCCGGGGTTGGGGGGGAGGATCACGAGGTCAGGAGTTTGAGACCAGCTTGGCCAACGTGGTGAAACCCCGTCTCTACTAAAAACAAAAAAATTAGCTGGGCGTGGTGGTGCATGCCTGCAATCCGAGCTACTGAAGAGGCTGAGACAGGAGAATTGCTTGAACCTGGGAGGTGGAGGTTGCAATGAGCCTAGATCACACTACTAGACTCCAGCCTGGGCGACAGAGCAAGACTCTGCCTCAGAAAAAAGTAAGCAAGTGGCTGGGCGCGGTGGCTCAAGCCTGTAATCCCAGCACTTTGGGAGGCCGAGGCGGGTGGATCACGAGGTCAAGAGATCGAGACCATCCTGGTCAACGTGGTGAAACCCCGTCTCTACTAAAAAACACAAAAAATTAGCTGGGTATGGTGGCGCGTGCCTGTAATCCCAGCTACTCAGGAGGCTGAGGCAGGAGAATTGCCTGAACCCAGGAGGCGGAGGTTGCGGTGAGCCGAGATCGCGCCATTGCACTCCAGCCTGGGCAACAAGAGCGAAACTCCGTCTCGAAGTAAGCAAGCAAACACAAGCTTTTCTGACAGTTGGTGAGTCGGAGCCAAGAGTGACTGTGCTGGAGCCTCTAGGCTGCATCCTTTCCTCCGCGACCTGTGACGCGTGACTGCAGGAATGCGGGCCACCTGGCGTCCTCGCGGGCTTCCTACCCCCCTCCTGCGGCGTGACCACTGTCCCTCGCCTGTGCCCCCAGAGGGGAAACTGAGGCTTGGGGGCGGTGCAGGGCCGCCCTCCCCGGGCCGGGGCTTCCGCGCCTGCGCGCCTGCGCCCCTGCGCCGTGTCCGCGCTCGCCTTTGTCAATAAAGTTAACGCGCGCCCGGAGCGGAAGCGGAAGCGGCTAGTCTCCATGGCGGTGGCGGCGGCAGGGGCTGCGGGACCCGTGTTCTGGAGGCGACTGCTGGGCCTCCTGCCCGGCCGCCCCGGGCTGGCCGCGCTCCTGGGACGCCTGTCCGACCGCCTCGGCAGGAACCGGGACCGCCGGCGCAGGAGGTGAGAGAGGCGGCCGGGCTGAGAGCGCAGCGCTAGAGGCTGCGGCCCGGCCCCGCGGCGTTCAAACTCCCCGGGCCCGGCGTCCCGGGCATCCGCAGCGAGTCCCTCCCCGGTCCCCAAGCCGGCTTCTGCCTCCCGGGGCTCAGCGCCTGACTTATGTGCTTCTTCACTGGCCTTCTCGAGGGAGGGTGGACGCCCCGGGCGCCACTGTCGGCCGGGTCCAGCCCGCGGGCCTCCTGCGCAGTCCTGGGACTCCTTGCTCCCCCTCGACCCCGTGCTTGGCGGCGAGCCCCGGCCACTGTGCACTTAAAGGGGCGCTGTGTGTACCTGCGGGGAGCTTCGGTCTAGCTCCAGAGGCTGTGTTTATATCGTGGTTTCGGCCCCAGGATGTGAGCGTCAGCGTTAAGAGGGGTCTTTTCCTTAAGTAATCCTGGCTGTGAGTGAATCAGCCTTGCTGGGATTTGGTGTATGCAGCGTTTCTCACATCCTGCCAGAGAGAGCTGTGAGGCAATCCTTGGTAACATTCAGGCATGGGAAGAGGAACCACTCGAAACACTTTTTACACATTTCAAAGGGCCTGTGTTCTGGAAAAGTTCTGAAGTTATGTAAGCGATGAAGTAGGCTTTGGAGCAATTTGCTCAGGCAGTGGTCTTTTGAAATAAACATTTGCCAAAAACATGCTGGCCTGAAGCTCGCTAATATTAAAAAAAAGGCGGGGGGGGAGGGGGAGAAACAATTCTCCTGTGTGCAAATAGTTTTCTTACTTGAGCCTTAAGCTTGATCTTAAAAAAAAAAAAAAAAAATCTTAGAGCTGCTTCCGTTAGTTGAGGTTGCATTGTGTTAGATTTTCTGTCTGTACCTGTGCTCCTTGGGTGAGGTTTGACCTCCTGGGGTGAGATACGTACTACAGAGGTCTGGAGTCCAGTCATGTGCGCTGATTCTAGGTACAGGAAAGAGCTTGCTTCACAGTGATCTATGGTGAAAGATTTTCATCGAAAACTCGAGTTTAATTTAGGGGAATTTTTAGGTGATAGAATCAGGGCAGGGTGGAACTCTCTGAAACCTACAGCTCAGAATGGCTGTAAGTTTCACAGTGTTAAACCAGTGGGACTGGGGCTGTAAAACAAATAGCCTCTCCATTTTCTGCATTTTCATTGTTTCATCGTTTAGCAAAAGACCGGCTCATCTGAGTGGGTGGTGAAGTCAGATGACTTCTGTGTCCCGGCATCAAACCACTGCGATTTGGTTTACAGTTTCAAAAAAAACGTTCTGTCCTCAAAGGCAAGATGTTTAGACGACTTTGTCATTCCCCCTGTATGTTTAAACTATATGCAAAACACTTCATTATTGATCATTGTTCAACATTGGAATTGATTACTAAAGGATGTTGGGACAGTTGACACAAATTCTTTTTAAAAAATCTCTCATGAGTGTGCTTGTTTTTTTTTTGGTGGGGGGGCAGTTTGGCAGTGGAGATAGTCTAAATTGACTTTTCTAAAGTCTTTTGTAAGTAGTGTGAGTGGATGCAGTTTGTGTGCTTTCATCTTCATTCAGCTGAGAGAGAAGATTGTTTCTCTGGGACAGCAGTTCAACCAGCAACTCAGTTTCTTGGGCATTAAGACAGAAGTTCTTGTTTTATAATCCTTGGAAATAATGGCTATGGTAGGACCAAGAAATAAAACCAGCATTGAGTGGTAGTGTAGGTTTCTGAGCCTTTCTTTGCCTTATTCGGTGCAGTTTTTTCTGAATTGTGTGGCTTTGGGTGTTGGAGTTATTCATGTGTATTGTGGCTGCTCACCCCTTATTGGCTGCTAACTTTCATTTCTTCTTCTTTATTCAGTTGCATCTCCCAATTTCTCATTCCCCGAATGATGTGGTTTCTTGTAACTCGCTAATCATTGATTCATTGATAATAGTTGTGTGCAATCATGAGCTTAAATTATTTTAGGGTTTAGCTTGTCTATCTGAGTCAGCTGTTGGAGGGCCAGTGAACCCTCGTGAGGGGAACATTCCTTTTACTGCCGCGGTTTCCTTTCAGGCATAGAGACAGCCGCAGAGACAGAGAACACTACTTAAAATTATTTCTAATTAATGATTTAGAAGTACTGTCATTTCCTCTTAAGCTAGCATCTGACTCATTATCATTAGGGACCGCTGGGTCCATTAATTTTTTTTTTTTTTTTTGAGACGGAGTTTCACTCTTGTTACCCAGGCTGGAGTGCAATGGCGCGATCTCGGTTCACCGCAACCTCCGCCTCCTGGGTTCAGGCAATTCTCCTGTCTCAGCCTCCTGAGTAGCTGAGATTACAGGCACGTGCCACCATGCCCAGCTAATTTTTTGTATTTTTAGTAGAGACGGGGTTTCACCATGTTGACCAGGATGGTCTCGATCTCTTGACCTTGTGATCCACCCGCCTCGACCTCCCAAAGTGCTGGGATTACAGGCTTGAGCCACCGCCCCCGGCCTGGGTCCATTAATTTATTCATCATGTGTGTATTGAGCACTGCTGTGCTGTGCTAGGTACTCCGGAAGCAAAGATGAAGACAGCCCCACCTCCAAGATGCACAGACCCATAAACAATGATAAGAAATAGGTAGAAGGGCCGGGCGCGGTGGCTCAAGCCTGTAATCCCAGCACTTTGGGGGGGCCGAGATGGGTGGATCACGAGGTCGAGAGATCGAGACCATCCTGGTCAACATGGTGAAACCCCGTCTCTACTAAAAATACAAAAAATTAGCTGGGCATGGTGGCACGTGCCTGTAATCCCAGCTACTCAGGAGGCTGAGGCAGGAGAATTGCCTGAATCCAGGAGGCAGAGGTTGCGGTGAGCCGAGGTCGAGCCATTGCACTCCAGCCTGAGTAACAAGAGCGAAACTCCGTCTCAAAAAAAAAAAAAAAAAAAAAAAAAGAAATAGGTAGAAGGTCATGGCAGTACCTTGGAGAGGTCATGGAAGGCTTCCTGGTGCAATGGCTCAGAGCTGTTTTGAAGGAGGGGTAGGAGTAGGCAGGTTGGGTGAAGAAGATGGGGAGTGGATGTTCAAGGAATGATGGTGAGTGACATGGATGGCAGCGAAAGGCAAATCTGAGGTCCCGCCAACACTGAAACCATTTCCAGGAGCTGACTGAGGGTACCAAGCAGGGGTTGGGGGGAGGGAGGAAGAGGAGCTAGGAGCGAGCCAGTGTGGGTCAGAGACCCAGGAAGACAAGTTCTGAGATTCCATATATGATTTCTTTTGATTCTGGTTCAGCCTGAGATGGTGGGGGCTTTAATGTGAAGTCAGGGGCAGTGGGAGCAGAAAAGAGGGCTGGGTTAGAATTAGTCCTGATGGGGCACATGGATATTGGTACGTTTCACGAAAGCAGGGAGTGAAAAAGAGGCTCAGGTTTTGAGGATAACGGATCTCGGCGCACCAAAACCTCTGCCTCTCAGGTTCAAGCAGTTCTCTGCCTCAACCTCAGGAGCATCTGGGATTACAGGCGCGTGCCACATTTGGGTCATGTTAATCAGTATCCAGGTTTCTCCAGGTGAGGTGTCCAGTGTCCAGCTGAGTGGCAGAACTGGAGCTCAGGAGAGGGAGATGGATGCTTCAGACAGGGTTTTTTAGAGTCATCCAGCCACACAGAAAGGTCTTATTACTTGGAGTAGATGAGACCAAGTGGGAATTATTTCATGAGGACATTAGTTACTGCTGATCTTGAACTTGCCTACCATACAAGGAAATATTTTATATGTGGCTTACTTTTTTTCCTGTTTAAACTGTTTTCAGTTTTAGCTATCTGTGCAGAACTATCTTTATGTTTGAAACTTTTTCACAATTCTAGGAGCTTGTGAGTGTGTGTGTTGGATGGGTAGGGGGTTCCTCACTTCTCAGAATTATAAGAGGGATACAGGTAGCAGCAGATTGTTTTCAATTAGATTTTCTTCCACTGTAGTGGCAGGTCACTTGTTTATAAGTAGTTTCTACTCTGAGGGACCACCAGATTTCCAGAGGTATGTAGGGATTCAGTCTTCCTTACTTTTTAGAGTTAAGTGTAACCATCTCTTCGTTTATTTATAGCAGTATAATGGATGGGAAGGAGATATTTAGAATTAAAGCATAGTTTTGGCAAATAATTCAGGTTGGATCTTGCAGTGAATTTAAAGATTTACAGTGGACAGACTTTCCCAATTGTAGCTTTGAGTTAATGGTACACGAGTATCCCTGAGCATGTTATAGTTGGTGATGAGTTCGACTCAATCAGTTGTCTGCTGGTAGGCAGGTAGAAACTGGCCTGGGATTAAAATGGTCTGAATGAGAATCCCTTTGTAGTAGCATGATCTGATTAATGTAAATGGGTCGGTTTTGAGGGTGCTAGGAGTCAGGCTGGCTGAAGCCCTTTGGAGTCATAGAATCTGTGATCGGTTCTCATCAGGCACTTTAATGTGCCTGGTACATTTGGCTACCCAAGCTGTATTTTGAGTTATAAATATATTTTGGATTTCTGGCCCCCAGTGTAATTGATTTCCTTTTGGCTACGCCAAGAGGACAGTCACCTAGTCAGCATGTGGCCGATTGCTGGCAGCCCGGGCCTCTTGTGCCTGACTTGTTATGGGAGTTCAGCAGGCCGTTGGTCTTTTGTAACCTACGGGAATCCACACTCATTTCCCTTCCTCGGGGTTAGGTCTTGCATTAGTCAGGAGCAGCCGCCTGCTGCCAGGGTTGCAGGAAGTACGGTACCTTCATGTCGTTTCTGGAGCCTTTCTCAGGAAGTGTTATGACTGTTGCTTTTTCTCATCAGTTCACTTTTTTACATTTAAATAATTGTGACTGAGGGGGTAGGGTGAGTTTTTCTCAAAAAGTAGTTTCTGAAAATATCGCAATCCAGAGAGCTCAGTTTCTTTTAAAAAACTTCTTTCTGTTTTCATCGTTTTGTACAGATTTGGATGAGCTCCAGGCCGCAGTCTGTACCTTATGGTTAAACAAGGGCCCCTGGACCTTCAGACCGCGCCTGTGAGGGA